ATATGTATATTTATATATATATATATATATATTTTTTTTTTTTCCCCCTCTGTCCTTTGTCATTGTTGTGCTAATAAATGAGGGCCCCAGAACAAACCTATGAATAGAGTGGCCACTCAATCAATCAATTGGCATCTCCCTCACTGATAAAACAAGGCTTGTCACCACTGAAGCCTCTCAAAGCACAGAGAGCTGGTGATCAGCATGTGAGGACGAGGTGCTGGGCTGTTGTGGCTGTGTATGGTTCTTCCACATGCTATTTTCACAAGCTCCTGTTTGCTGAATGAATAAATTGTTACATTGCCAATATGTCTTATTTCTTCAGACTTCAGTCATTCAACCCAATAAACAAAACAAGAGTCAGTAGCAGAATAAGCTATTTGGCATTGGCAGAGAAAATTTGGCAACTTTTTATGGGCACAACCCACATACTCAACTCTGCTGCTAACCCACAGGAAAATAAGCAGTATAAAATCTATTGCCAAGAACCATTGTTAGAACAAAAACCAAAAACATATTTCCTTACCTTTGTGCTAGATTTATAATCCTCTGTTATAAACTGAGCCTACTTCCACGTGGAGGAACGTTCCTGGCCATTAGAGTGGGATCTCAGGCTATGATGAACATTTTTTAATTTACCAGACGCATGCTTTTTTTCAGCACTCATGCAGACAATTTTTTAACCTTGATTTTTTTCTCTGGCACAGTCCAGTCATTGGTAATTGTAAGCAGCCTTACTTTTGTTTACTACCTTAGAAATTGGCGTATTATGCCACAGAAATTTATTATCTTTGTTTGGAAAATTGACTAGCATTTCGAAAGCTCTGTTGTTAGATGCAGCATACAGTATGATATGTTAGGTGGCAACCACAATCATGACGCAGTCACAATTACCGGAAGACCATCAGAAAACAGCAGCGGGTAGAAGAAATGTTGAAATATAATAAAACGGCGTAACCACCAGTCAGAAAACAGCTGCACCAGAACTGGGAGTGCAGAGACAGACTGTAGACCGAGGGACAGATGGGGATTGTTGCTTGAACATGGATAGCCAAACTGCAACGTGTAAGCCACACACAGATTTATAGTTTTACAGTCAGAGCAAAGGCTAATGCACACGTCACACTGACTCAGCTGTGACATGTCAGCATGTTTCCAGGCATATTGTAGGGACCACAACTATCCGAGGGGTGTTCAAAGTAAAAATGTAAATTACAATAACCCGAAATGGCCCAAGAATCCACTGTGCAAAATTATCAGTCAGGTTAAAAAAACATCTATGTACAGCAAGTACAATTTTCTTTTTCAGTTTTTTTATTTTTTTTTTATTTCAGTTTTTATTTGTTATTATTATTATTATTATTATTATTATTATTATTATTATTATTATTATTATTATTATTATTATTTTAATCATCTTTTGTCTGTCTCACTAAGAAATGCTAGGAGGTCATAGCAAAAACATACATATTTGTCTGGATTTTTCATAGGAAAACAGTCGCTTTACCCAGAACTCTGCAGAAGAGGAACCGTGTTGTGATATTCAGGTTGTCATGTCATTACAGATGCCACATACCTCTTTTGTAGCTCCCATAGAGGACTCTTTTTGATAATGTTCACGCAAAGGTCAAGATTCCACATGTAGTTCTTCACCAGCATTCACCTTCGCCACTTGGCTGAGGTCTGGCATGATTAATTCTTTGTGTCTTGCCATCTCTGTGTGTGCCAGGTTCATCTTGCTTACAATGGAGCCAAGCAAACACAGGAGAAAAGTGTGTGCCTGAAAGTGTGTGTGTGTGTTTTTAAAAGACATTGGTGCAACTGTTTTAACAGGGCGACTCTGTTTGAATTAGATGTTCTAACCCCCCGCTTGCTAAATGGATTTCTAAAGTGGCTGTAGTTGGAGGCTTTCAATCGGATGCAACCTTGAGTCCTTTTTTATGTGAGCTCTGTAGGATTTAAGTGCCGGTATAACATGAGCACGACTGAATGCATGCTCCTCATTTTTTGAAATTGAAAAATCTCCAAAGGCTCTCCCCATTGTGCAGGCAATTAATGGAATGCTGGCAGCGAGGTTCAGGTGCTTAAAAGTTGTATTTTTTTCCTCTCTCTCTCCTGATCTCTTTTTAATGACTAATAAAGGATAATCATCGTGGAAAAAACATCATAATGCTGTAGGCTTCCTCTTTATGCACAATGATGTATAATGCATGCTTTGAAATGAAACGGCAGCGGCCTTCGAACCATTCCATCTCCAAACCTTAGTGTATTTGTTTTGCATGCCACAGTGAGGCTTTTGCATAATAATTGTGAGTGTTCCCTTTAACAGTACTTGCCTATTAATTTGATCTTTACATTTTTAAAGTTTGTCCATCAGGCCGCCAAACAATGGCTCCTCCAGTCGCTGTTTGACATAAGTGATTGCAACGTAGGCTAATTGCCTCTCTAAAGAGTTGTTTCCTTTTTGATCCTCTTTGTTTTTTATGTTTTAGTGTTGAAGCATATGAATAAATATAAGTGATCAATAAAACCTTTCCCCTTAACTTTTTGAACAGCCTTTAACATGTAAGAACTCCCTTTCTTCTTATATGAGGTGAATATATAAAAAGCTAATATCGGCTTTCATGACCTTTTTTGGGGAGGGTTTTTCTTTTGCTCTTTGGTTCATTTTAAACTTAAAATGTCTTTGTGCTCTGCTTTTGCACCGATAATCAGGCGACCCTGGTTGGATAAAAGGGAAAGGTTAAAAAGGTTAACGTCACACAACGTTGTACTCAGAATTTAAGATGGTACAAATGTGCCAAAAAGTATTTTTCAATGGTCAAAATAAGTTGATTTTTATTTCCCTTTGATGTGTTGTTACTGCCAGAACTACTTTACAGGGAGTAAATTGGGGGAAGAAGCCGAGGGTCTGGAAGGGGGCTTTTTTCCCCCAGTTGCTCCAGTAGTAAAATGCAAAGTTTCTGATAAGAGGGTAAACTGCTGCCTACTTTTGGTCTAATGATATACAATGACTGAGTCGGTACATGTGGCTGTAGATATTTCATTCAAACTCACAGCTGTCATTATTTGTTTTTAATAAAGACAAATAATTAAGACCGAACAAACAGTAAAAGTTCAGCTCTCTCTTAAACTCACTGATTAATTTTATTTAGTAGTTGTGCTTGTCTCCGGCCTGTCGAGCCTCCGGGCCTGCCTGAAACTGGACTGAATATCAAATTTGCTTATTCCAGCATTCAGTTGCACATTTACTTGCAATCTTGGAACCCATCCAATAGCTTTCTTTCTCTCTTTCTTTATTTCTTTCTTTTTCTCTCCTCGTGCCCTCAATCTCTTTCTCTTTGACTGTGCTTGACAATACAGGGAAACATACAAGCGCATCTCGGTAAATTCGAGTGATGTGGTTCCAGAGTTTAAAAGCTTCACATAACACTAGCAGACACAACTTGGGGCTGTTTGTGTGACGGAAAGGAAAACTTGTTTAGAAACTGACAGCACTGTGTGTGAGAGAGATTTAACAAAAAAAAAACAAAACTGTATGTGTGTGTTGCTTTTGGCAAGTTATTCATTTGTATTTTTTTTCCTTGCTCTCTGTGTGGTTATCTTTTGAGTTGGTTGGTTTGGAGCTGATGTCCACCTTTGGGGATGCACATAGCATGCATTTCTGAGTATTTTCACCTGAGGCTGCACTTGTTAGAGTCTGTGGATAAATGTATATACATTATTTATACAAATTCAGGGCGAGTGAAAGCAGGTTTAACACGTTTACAGACAGGAGGCCAAGCACTGAAAGCCAAGCTCCAAGTGAGGATTGCAATGCTGTGTGAGGGGAATCGAGCTGGCCGCTTGCTCATCTGTGACCAGCATCCTTAATGCTGCGTGTGAACACAGACCGTATTATCTTTACCGCCTCAGCAATTAAATGATCCCTCGTATCAGTTGCATCGTAGGAAGAAATGAAAACTAATAGCCTGTTAAAAGTTTGGTATTTACAAAAGGCTCTTAAGAAACCTCTTGGCTTTGTTGCTGAATTTTTTATTTTCTAAAAATGTAGAAAAGGACTAGTGACTGTTCAACAACTTCTTCTTCTTCAGTTTAGAAATTATGTATGTGTCTTTAAGAAAACATGAGAAGAGATTAATGAACCTAAGAGAGGGATGGGGAGAGAGAAAGGTTGGCTAGAAGGCAGAGAGAACTGTAAGGTGGATCAAACTCGTGGCAGATCATGTCGTGTGGAGAGTTAAAGGCAAATATAAAAAGGATGAGTATTTGCACAAAATTACACTTGCTGTCAAAGTACAGCTCTTTAGATCATTTATCAACCTCTTGTCTAGATTCACATTGTAACAGTAAAATCATGCTTTAATGTGAATATTGTGCTGCTGAAGGCTGTTGAGCAGGACAGCTTTTTACAGTTTAATCGCTTCTGATATAAAACTCTGTATTTGACTTTGAGACCTCAACTGTAGACCTTAATTAACGTTCTTTCAGTAACTCACTAAAGGGTTTAATTTTAAAACGTTGTACTGTACACAATAGTTAGAAATGATTGGCGATTGCATCCGTTCGTAATATTGTTAAAAATTGTTGCAAATGTTGTAACAACAGTAATTTAATAGTGGGGCTCTTCCACCATTTTTTACTGACTTCAGTGACAAAGCACTAGATACTGTACTTCATCCTCCTCCCAGCATGAAACGAGAGTTACCATTTGTGTTGCATTGTTACAGTATAGATAAGTAGTGCTTCCCTAAAGTTATTTGAAATTTCCCACTTACCCATCCCTCTCCTTCATTTAGGAGCTGCCTGCTTCAGAAGTGAATGCCTTGCCACCTGGCTGCAGTCTTCATGTTCCCATGGACCTCGAGTTTTCAGCTTCCTGTTTCCCTCGCAGCCCTACACCTCAGAAAAGCTACGATCTTGTCCACATAGACTGATCTGTCATGATGTTTTTGGTGTTTCTGTACTTCTTATTTGACATTTATCTGCCCCCCCAAATTGTCCTTGATTTGTACTTCCTTTACGATGCCTTGGATAATAACATATCGCCTCATGTATATATGTACGGTTATTATCTAAACTGAACAATTAATGATGTGTACATAATGATTTTAAATATGTTTGTCTTTTTTCTCCAGGAAAACAATGTAATTATTTCTCATTGCTACAGGTACTCACATTGCAATCATACACATAATTTCCCTGAAATAACAAATGAAGTGGAAGTGGGCAGCATTAGTGTGCAGAGGGAGTGAGAACCTGGTGTTATAAGCATAAGAATTATTTATTGAGATATGAGAAAAAACTCAGTTAGCCCCATTGAGAGAAACTCCAGGACCTGGAAGTGATGGAAGCGTTCAAAATGTCAGCAAAAGGGTGAAAAAAGCCAAAGCAGAAAGGAAATAGCATTTAGATTTTTTTGTCTCCATCTGTTGACAGTGCACATGAGCATATAACGCACAAAAGTAGTTGTTGTTTGAATCTTGTGTACAAGTCTGTTTCACAATCACTACGTGTTCTACAAAAATGTGTTGTGAAGCAAACAGGTGGGATTTACACCATTTATGATAACTTCTCACTGGCAAGCTACCAGAAACACTTCCTCAGACCATTTATTTGAATATCTTCAAACATAATTGTCTTAGGTGTTGGAGCAGGACTGCAGTGATGATACAACAAACATGCAGTAAAAAGCAGGACTTATGCATTGCCACATTAGTGGCTTGTGTTGCCTACATGAGTTGTGGATTTCACTGTATGTTACAATTAGGTCCGTAGGTTTATTGTGGATTTTAAATCGCAGGATAAAGATGTGACTGAAGTGCATGCTTTCAGGTTTAATTCAAGGTCTTTAACAAAATATTTGCATTTACTGTTTAAGAATTACAACTATTTTTAATAGTCTCCTATTTACAGAGGCTCAAGCTTTAATGACTGACACACAGCTACACAGAGAGGTGACGCCTGTTCCTTTGTTATTTTATGGCAAATGAACCAGACATAATATCTAAAGTTTAAGTGTGTTGAATTTGTGTTTTATAGCTTTTCATTAGAATTTGTTTCAGTGCAGTGAGAGATAGCAACAACTTTAGCAGTGTTCAAATCAACAGTCTGGTTCATTCTTAAAAAGAGTGAATGCACTGACCCACTCAGTGACAGCAAAAGGCCTGAAAGACCAAAGAAGCCAACTAACTTGGTTAATGACAGAATTTTTTTCCACATTAAATAATAAAAATAACTTTTCATCTAAAAAAGTCATGAATACTTGTATTATCAAGAGACCCCAGAACGAATGGAAACACGGAGGGTTTACAACAAGGTGCAAACCACTGGTTACAGTCAGGAATGAGAAGGCCGGATGAGACTCTTTCAGAAAACATCTTAAAGACCTGCACACTGTAAAAAATATTTAAAGAGATGAAACCAAGTTTTGCTTGTACCAGAATGATGGGAAGAGATAAGTATGGAGAAGGCGAGAAACAGCTCGTGCTGTCTGTTGTTATGGCATGGGTATGTATGGGTGGCAGTGAAACTGGGTCCATAGAGTTTATTGATGATGTGACTGCTGAGCAGGATGTAGCAGAAGTAGCAGGATGAATTTGGGCTTTAGTCTTTGTTTCGATTCAGAATAATGCCACAAAACTGAAGGTCGATGGAGTAAAAGGCCTTCAGAGCATCTCGTAGGTGGAAGGAAGTCCATTGGTTCAAGACTTCAGGCAGTCGTTCACTGCAAAAGATTTTCATCCACATATTAAAAACAATCCTTGCATTTGAACTGTTAGCTTGTTCAAATAATTTTGAGCCTCTGAAAATGGGGTTCTTTGTATAAAAATGGCCATAAGTCATAATCAGTTAATGCAAAACTTTTGTTAAACTCCTTGAATTAAAGATGAAAGTCTGCACTTTAATCAGTCCTCGATTGTTTGATTTAAAATCTATACTGTTGTGTACAGAAATTACAAAAATTGCACCTCTGTCCAACAAATTATGGACCTACGTGAAGTCCAAGGCAGCTGCAGAACCTAAACACTGACTTTGAGAACGTGAATGAGAGGTAAGATTGTGTGACCAGAACACAAAAGTAATGGTCGGATTCAGAAATAACTTAATGACTTTTCTGTACATTAAACATGCCGCTGAAAGACTCTAGCTCATTCGATGACTTATTAACAAAATGCTTTAAAGATAAAAAACACACACACCACAGGTTGATGTGGGAGGGACATTGTGATAAACAACTACTATACATATGGGGAAACTTGGCAAGAGAATAATTTAGGCTGCTGTGTTTTTTTTTTTTTTTGTTGTTTTTTTAAAGCTGCTTTTCTTAACTTGGGACACAATAATAGAAGTCACAGCTCACAGGGGAAAGATGCAGTCTTTGGTATAAGAGCAAACTGGACAGAACAATGATGCAGGATGTGAATAAGTAAAACTAACGTGGCACAGACGTCTTTCACACCTACTCACTTAAACACAATACTTGTTTCAATGTACAGACTTGCATGAACATTTAAAAGACTGAAAACTTGTGATTTTTCTTTCTTTCTTTTGTCTTATTTTTCTTTTTTTCTTCTTTTCTTTTTCTCTTTTTTATTGGAAAGCCTGTTATTTTTGCTCCAGACCTGCATTGTCGAACTACTTATGGAAACGAAACAAGAACATGCTACAGTAAACAAATTTATTTCGGCGTGGACACCTTACGTCATGTAACACATAGATGGAAATATAGCGACGCAATAAATTATCTTCATTATTAAGCGTAACCAGTGACATACTATACATCAAAAATGTCAAAGCACTGTAAATAAAAAACAAACAGAAAAAAGCAAAAGGCTTTTACAAATAAAAAGGTCGGAAGCGAAAAGGAAGTCTTACACAGACATCAATGCTTAAAAAACCCCCCCAAATAAAACAAATGTTTGAATGCCAGCAGACACAGAAATTAATATTTTAAGTGTGATTCCTCCTTGATTTTAGTGTCTCACGACATAATTTAAGTACTGCTCAAAACAAATAAAAAAATAAAACACTATACACACACCAAAGAAAGCAAACCAGAAGGATCTTTTTTTCTCATTAATTTCTTTTTTTCTTTTTTCTTTTTTTTTTTTTTTTAGGAAATCATTGCTTTGCAATTTATGCTTCATCACAGTTCTCTCCCATTTGACCACATGAATGTAAACAACTGCTGAATTATTCTTTTTTTTTAATTTTTACAACATTAATACTTTTTTTATATATATATTTATATATATATATATTTATATATTTGTACATATTTTCATTCACATCTGCACGGTTAGCTAGCATGGTAATGAAATAAGGCAAGACTCACATAACTGTGACATCACAATGTTTTTTTCTCTTATAATACTGATTATTAAGGTATTTGTCATTTCCTTCATCTGTTCTGCAGCAGGCTTTGGTCTTTTCGGACAAAGGCAGGATCGTTCCTTCTCCGTCTCCAGAACCACATTTTGTTTTGTTCCAGTTTTAGTGAAATATTAAAAAGGACAGGGTTTTTTTTGTTTGCTTGTTTGTTTGTTTTTTTGCGGGAAACAGGGCTATAAATACAATTTAAGCTGACATTAGTTAATTGAATTTATTTAACACTGGTCTTTCTGAGGTACATAGTCTAACATAACATGGAGAGATGGAATAAGAAAGGAGAACTGCATGGCGACCATGAGGAGCAAATGACTTCAATTACAAGAGAAAAAAAGACGTCTTCTTCTTATTCACCCATTTAGCATTTTGTTCGCTAACAAATTAGAATTTTATTTTTCAACTTTCAGTTCTCCCCTTTCAGTTCGGTCGAGCTGCCACTCGTTTTTTTTGTGAGTTAAAAAAAACAAAACAACAAAAAACAGACGTGATGGTAGCTGAGAGTCTCTTGCCTGGTTGACAGCTTGTGATTTTGCCCTTACAGTACCAAACAACAACTAAAAGCCAGTTTTATTGATAGAGCGCACAAGAGAATCATTGACCAAAACAAGCCACCGCTGTAGTCACAAAGCTCTTTTAAAGATGGGCAGTGTTATTCAGCTTCCCCTTTTTGTCAGCACAGAAAGCCTCTCAATGGCATTACCAGCACTAAAACATTTGTGGGCTCTTGAATTCTTAAAGTTGCAGTCTGACAGTCTGACAGTCTGATAGTCTTGCTTGTGCAGATGATCAGAAATCATCTTGTACAGTCAAATGCAGATTCTGCTTCAAGTGGTTGTCTTTTTTATCTTTCTCCCTTTCAGCATCGTCTTTTTCTGTCTGTGGTTGAGGAAAAGTGACTCCTTTATAGAGTTTTTATTGTGTTTTTTTTTCTTTCTACAATAAAGGGATCCAAATGCTGTTTGTCTGTGCACGTTATGAGTCTCTGTGCACGTGTTCGTCCACTTCAAGTTGTAACTTGAACCACACACACACAAAAAAGCTCGATAAAACTGCTCCCCATCCTCTAGGTCACCACATAGTCAAGTGTGAGCTGGAGGTTTGGTTTTGGTGAAAGCATTATTTGGAGTTTCTGGACTGCTGCAAAACTGCACAGCTGCACTGCGGGTAGGAAAGTCACTTCCTAAGCTCTTTTGGCGTGCAGCATTTCAATAAGCAGGTTGTTGCAGGGCACGTCGCCGTTCAGGTGTTTGTAGTAAAGGTATTCTTCGGCTTGCAGGCTGATGGCTCGTATCTCGGGTAGCCGAAGGAGCAGCTGGCCAAACTTGTCCGTTTGCTGTGGGTAGTTACACATGACGTAGTCCAGCAGCGCTGCATTGACCTGCTCCTGGACGCTCTCGACCAGGTGAAAATTCTCCAGGTTCTTCACATCTACGGGAAGGAGGAAGAGAAAGGTTAGTTAAAGTCAGGCTCCACAGGAAATGTGGGTCAGCGTGAGAACAGGTGAGGGAACTCGAAACCAAGGTTACTCACACTCAAAAACGCTGTTTCACTTAAAAAAAAAAAATCCATGGGGTTCATATTACAGACACACAGATTAGTTCTTTGGTTATTGTGTATTTTCACGTTGCTCAAAATCTGGCACTCCATGTTGACGTATCCCTCCCTCCTCTTGTTTTTTCCTCTTTATCATCTTCTGGGACTACAGTGCAGAGGGAGTCAGGTAAAGGCAACAAAAAAAGAAGGTTCTTCTCCTGAGACACAAATTCCCCAAGAGCCCATGAATTATGCAGGGGAGAGTTGTAGTCGTATTAGCACCAGAGCTGCTCCTTAACCTAACGCTTTCACCACACTTTTGTTTAAGATCAAAACAATTTGTCCCACTTATTTTATTTTTTTAAATGTGCAGATAAAAGTTTGCAAAAGCATCAATCTGATGAATAATAATGCTAACTTTAAATAAAAGAGTAGACATCATGTGCAGGAATCCATCTCAAAGGAAAACCCCTTTTTTCACCATTAATTCCTCGTGCAAAATACATTTTGCATCTCTCTAAAACCCTACCTTTCTGCGCAGCTATAAGCACTTTTCCTTGACAATAATAAGCTCACTGGGGGTTTAAGCAGATTATTGCAAGACAAGACAAAAAAATTTGCTAAATGGATAATGGTGAACCAGAGCGCTGTGTGTACTTGTCATGATTATGAAGCACAGGGGCTGCAGAATATTTAATCAGGTAGCAGCTCTGTGTGTGCGTGTGTGATCTTTTATTAATCTGTTTGACCCCAGGTCGAGTGTGCTCACAGTGGGCTAATGTAGAATGACAGAGTCTGTGTATAGTTGGACCAGCACACACGCACACACTAAAATATACCACCCTTCCGACTTAATCTCTCAAACACACACACACACGCACACACACCCGCATTAATCCATGGAAATACACATAATATTTCTTTCTTTCTCACACAGTACCCTCTTCCCACACACATACAAACTTACTCACGCACACATGTGCCCCATCCACCCACCTAGAGCATTAGGAGGAAGGAGGGGGAGATAAATCAGCAGCTAATGAGGTCTAGAGAATGAGAAGCAGGTCCTTCAAGGCACTTCCATCTATGATGCACTCTACCATGCTATTGCAATCTGTATGTGTATGTGTGTGTCTGCCTGTTCTTGTGTTGCTTGTGTGTGTGCCAGCATGTACTGTGTTGATGCTCACCCTGACCTCTGAATGACACGGCGGGGGGCTAAATAAGGCCAAGAGGAGGGCAGGAAAAGGGGGAGGGGTGTGGCCTGTGACAAAGGAGCCTCCAAACAAACATGACATGTGCTTTTTCCTGCTGCCACTCAGCTGTCTGACCCCACTCAGACTCCAGCACCGTCTTTCACACCACCAACACCTCAGAGAGGCCTTTATGTAGCCTTACATAAGCCAGCCCAGTAGACTGTCGAGTGTGCTTTAAGCGTTTCCACATAGACGTCCTACGCAGGTCAACAAGGAGAAAAGTCTTCTTCTTTAAAAAAAAGAATATCTACAAATGAAACAATTTAAACGTTTAAAAGTTTCAGAGTCACTTAGAAAGTTTGGAAAAAAATGCAGAAATCACTGAAAGTACTACTGTTTTGGATTTTTGTTGTTTATATCAAGTTGACTGTTAAGTTATGTTTTGAGCATGCACTACAAAAAAAGAATTACACTGAGCATTTTTTAAAGGACTCAACATCTGTGGCATTGCTGTACATATCCATGGACAACAGATGGGCATAGCTACATCTCTTCAAAAAAGAGTCTTTTTTTGAGAAATCAATAGACAAATACATTTATATTTTATTAAATTAAAGTTTGTCAGCATAAAGGAAACAAAACTGAACCTACAGGAAAATTTTTTATAGAATAGACATATTTGAATTTTAAGTCATATGTCATTATAGTATTAAAAAAATCACTGAAAACTAACTTTTTCCTGAACACACTATGTGTCTAATAACTTCTGTTACAGAATGAGTGTAGCTTTACTGCTAGCCATCCTCTCCAAACACTAAATACCACGCATACATTAAAGAACACAATCAAATTTAAATAGAAAATTCTGTTTAGTATAATCAAGATCTTTTTGGGCCATATAATATAAGAATAAGTGTTTTCTGCAGTGCAAACACTGTAACAACACCACATGCTGGTATGTCAGAGCATCTCACAGCAGAGGCATGCCAAGTATTACCATGCTTTCTCTGAAAGATTTGTCTCTGTTTTGTGTGCGACTACGTTGTGTGCGTGTGTCGATGTTGGGGGGACAATGGAGAATTAGGATCCAATGTCTCTGTCAAGCTAATTAGGCAAAAGTGAAGCAATAAGACAGCATTTTAATTGCTAATTATTAGCAGAGCCTCTTTTGAAAAAATAATGAATCGGGGCTTCTAAAAAAAAGTACAAATGACAATAGCATAATATTCATTCTCTATTGGAAAAAACAGTGAAAAAAAAGAAGAAAAAGGTTGAAGAGTTGTTTGTTTGAATTCTGCTGTTAAACACTTTAGAAAAGTGAAGAGCTACTAGAGCTACTTTCAGCTGCTCCCTTAGTCACATGAGGCCTCCACAGCAGGC